TTTATTTATCAACTTTTTTTTGTTCAAATGCTTTAATTTTTTATTAAAAGAAAAAATTAAATTTTGTTTTTACATTTATTTAAATATATAAATAAATGTTAAACTTAGAAAATAATTTAATTATTTTTATCAATAAATGTTTTTATAACAACAAAACTTCAAACACTTGATTCTATTAGACATGCCAAACAAATAATCCAGCTGTTTGTTTGACATATAAAGATATTTTTACTACTACTAAAAGTAACTTGCAATTTATTATAGTAGAGCCTCGAAAACTCGGCCTAATGTGGACCGAAGGGTGGCCGAGTTTGTGAAAATGCCAGGTTATCGGGAATGGGGTTAAAAAAAATAAGTATGAGTGTTTCCTCAGAAAATACTGTACTGTACTTGTGTGTATTGTTTACTTGAGAATACAACAGAGAAAAAACTGCTCAAATACCCTTAAACAAAGGAAAAGTACATCTTTTATGAAGGCATAGAGCCTTTACTACATGAAAATGAAAATTAATGAATACACTGTGTACAGTAATTTACCTGATAAGACAGACCTCAGAAAAATACTTTATGAGGCATAAAGCTGTCTTTATCATGAAAATTAATTAACTAAGGATTTTTTTGCCCTGCCGTGGTGTGGCCGAGTTATCCGGAGTGCCGAGTTTTCAAGGCTCATATACAGGGTTCCTATGCACCTGGAAAGTCAGGAATTTTCATTAGTGTTCAGAAAGTCAGTGAAATGTCGGAATTTATTAAAAATTATCGAAAAGTCAGGGAATTTACTTCCTTGTTGACTTTTTGCTGACAATATGCTTGACTAAGGGTAGCCATATGCAAATAGCAAGAAGTAGTGTGGTGCAATACAACTTATGAAAAAGTGTGCAGAATATTTTCAGGACCCAAAATTTCTCCTCACAAGATTCAAAAATTTTCAAAGTACAGTACATGAAATGATAAAAAATTTAAATCGTATTATTTATCATTTTTCATTTTAATAATTTTGATTGTATAACAAAACAATTTCTGANGTCAGATCGACCCACCTCCGTTAGTCGCGCGAAAAAAAATTACACCGTTAGGCGCGCGGGGTACTATAGCACCCGACTGATTTCCATTATAAGTCTATGCAAAAAATTATTTTCGTGCAAAATTGAAATTTTTTCGGTGCAATCTTTACACTATGGAAGGAAGGTACTGAGGGCATCATTTTTAAACACAAAAAATTTTAAAAAATACACGCGTTTAAACACGCCGGGGGTTCTATATAACCCCGCGCGCGTAACCGAGGGTTAATATAAAGTGATCCAATAGAATTTTTTCCTCGTTTTAGTAATATTTTGCTATAGACAACTCGCATGTGACATTTTAGAGTCCCGGATATACGCCATGTTTTTTCCGCTCAGTTTTAACATTGCATGAGTAAACAAACTTTAAATTTCTGTGTATATCCAGTCTACTTGGACCTTGTTTATTAATAGAGCAGGTGATTAGCAAACACAGATTTTGACTAAAATCTGTGTTTGCTAATCAAAAACTACCAGTATAATAAGTCTTATTAATAAACAAGGTCCGAGCACACAGGATATACACAGAAAATTAAAAGTGTGGTTTGCAGGTTTCAAATTCGGCAGCCTCGAAACAGAATAGATTGTAATTGCTGATTTGCTACACTTGTCACTGTATGTGACAAGTGTAGCAAATCAGCAATTACAGTCGGCCAACGACGCTCTTTGCCTTCAAAATTTAAAGATGGAGATAACATTGATCAGTGCCCTGCAAGCTTAAATCTCTGTATCCAAGGTGCGATATTTTGGTACTAATTTTTGTACTCAAATATCTTCTAAATATTCTGAAATGCCCTGATACGAGTTATTGTTGTATTTGGACTGCTGAATATCTCTGTAGATAGGATACTTGAATTACTATACTTAATATTTAGGAGTTCTTATAAGTATTGACTTTAATCTTATTAATACGCTCTCAAAGAATATTTTATTCTTTATGCTGTGAAGTGTGCAAAATGTACCAATGTTTTTGAGCATAATAGCATGAAAAAACTCGCCTACGTTACGCAGAAAGAACATTTTAATAACTCTTTTTTTACTTGTGGTTACTTAAAGGGTTTTTTAGTCAGCCCATGCTTTCGTCCAGACCCATAGTGGGGAAGCCGGGAATTACGGATTTGAGCTTGAAATATCCAGATAGACCATTTTTTTCTTGGCCTGGGAGGAAATCGAGTTCGTACGTATGACGGTCATTTTGAATGCTCTATCTGTTGTTGATAGGCCCATTAAAAATTTAAAAAATTAAACTGCGATTATCTTATTCATATAATTTTATAGTTATTCCTTAACTTAGGATAAATGTTGGTAATATTTCTGGTGTGTTGTCTTCAGCCTAACATAATCGCCTAACATAAGTGGAGCTCTTCCTTTTGTATATGCTTAAACGGTTAAAATATTGCATAATCTGACAAATATAAAAATAAAATTGCTTGAAAAATATTTCATATTTTCAAAAATCATATTTAAATATTTTTTTTACTTTATACAACGTTATTACGTTTAGTTTCATATGTTAAATAAATATGCTGTATGCTAACCAATATGTATTTTGCCCTATCCATTTTATATTATTATTATCCTCATTGTTATTATTGACATTCATTATTTCCAACAGAGAGAACTTGATATGCGGTGCTTCTACTTGGCAAGCGATAAGTAATCAAGCCAATGACAGAGTCTATTTTATATGAGAAGAACTATGTAATTGGCTTAGTTACATAGCTGTTTGTTCCCTTGAAATGCCCTTGGACTTACACTACATATATTTTGTAATTGTATAGTTATTCTGTCATATGTTTATTGTGTATATAATATTATAATGTCAAATTATTTCATCTCTTATAACCTTAATTTTATTTGTGTCACGCGACATTCATTTCTATGTTAATATATAGACTGTTTCCTGAACTTATTTATTTAGTTTTTCTCGAGAGCTATAATATAGCTTTTTTTTTTATCTTTGTCCTAGACGTGAAAGAATATTGGTACGTTTGTAAAGGTAAGCGTAAATATAGTCAGAGCATACGTAGGATCTGTTTGCTTACTATAAACATACACACAGGTGCAACTACAGAATTTGGCACCCTCAGCCCTTCTTGAAACCCATTAATTAATAGATTTTGGCCAGTCACAGTTATCATCACGAAATCGTCTAATCTGACAATTTCCGGTTGAAAATATTATTATACGCAACAGTAATTATAAACTGCTAAGTGTTAATGGTGTAATGACTGTACTGATGACCCTACCTCAAATTTTTTGATCGGACACTTTCGGATTCTTCTATGTATCTGAATATATACTTCAAGGTTTAAAGTTACAAGGAAAGCTCTTCATGGCGGCAGTCGCGGTCGTTCGCTTCGGTTAGGTTAGGTTAGATTAACTATATTTTTAGTAGACGTTTCCTTTTTTTTTCTTTTGTTCAGGAACTACCGTGAATCAATAACTAATGACGTTGGGCACTCGGTGGCCTGCCGGCGGCTCCCCTCCGGGAGGAATCCGTCGGGACTGCGGCCATGACGGCGCACGTAGGCCACGAACATATTAACCATACGAACATATTTCTATAGTTGCTACAGCACTAAATACTTGTTTCCAATGACTTGCTGCAGCACTGATTTTAATATTAGTTTTCCAAACTTTAATATTAATGACTGAAGTAAGTCAAAATTTTAAATTAACAGCATACAGAAGTAAATCATATAAATACAGTATATTCGTAATAAGGTATTTAAAATCTCTTTCAACTTGTACATTTATTTTTGCTCCGGACAGCTTGAGGTATGGAGATGTTCACTATTCTGTCTGAAGTTGCCAGGGAGACATACGTTGCATTATTTTGTTCATCGCCGCTCGATTATTCAACAAAAAATTAGAAAACATCGCGCAATACTTGACTGACTTTGCATTGGTAAAAAATTTTCTTAACCTTTATATTTTATTATTTTTTTCCATGGCTACGCAAAGAAATTGACACTAAGTAGCGTGTGAATCACTTCCAGAACTAAATGATTTTTTTCAATGTGTGATTGTATTGGTATTAAATAATGCAACACGAGGGCGGATCGGGGAACGTGCCTGACGGGTGGGTTTTTAAGGAAAACTGGCATCTATTCGGGAGTTATCGACGCGAAGGAAACCCGGTAATCGTCACTAGCCAGCCCGTGCCGACAACCAGTGTTTAGGAATGAAATCCTTGTTAAATTTAGCCACTGAGCAACATGGGTGTAGGATGGAAAACGACACATCGCTGGATTATAGGTAGAAAATTTATTGCAGCAGGCTTGACCGGAATTCGATCCCGAATCCTTTATGTAACGCTACCACTCAGTCGTCTGGCCGGCTTTCGATGTGTGAGAAAAACAATGGATGTCTTTGAAATTAGTTCTCAGAAGCTTCATCATGCTACTAAAGCAAGAACGCGAAGTACAGAGACAAAAACAAATCCAACAACGAGTTGCGTAACTTTTCCGGCAAAAGAATTTAAAATTGTGTTTGGCGCCATCGATTATGATATTTTATTTTTTTAAAAAAAACTCTGTATAATTAATTATTATAAAATGGCAAAAAACTTAATTTCAAGGGTAGAGACGGGTGTTATAAAAAGTTGTAGATATTCATAACAAATAAAATCTATTTTGAAATATTAATTAAGTTATCTTTGGTGTGTTTTTGATACATATTCGGACGGACCACTCCAAAAAAATTCATGGGAATTTTAGATTCGTCCGAATTCGTTCCCGGGTGCCCACGCCGCTTGGCTGCCATTTTATTTTTCAGCCATCCGGCCGACAATGAATGTTAAGTCGATTATTTGTTTTTTAAATAAGTAGATTTAAATATTTTCATAGGAATAAAAATAAACATATTTTAAATAAATTGATATCGTTTTGGAAAATGATTTATATTTTAAAATATTTTAATTTAATAAAATTAAATTTCGTCGGAGTTGGCAACACGACTAACCGAAATTACAGATATGGCGTGCGAAGCACGTGTTTGTTTGAATTGAGTCTGTTTACTCGAGTTGTACTGTGGATTGATATTTGTTAAATTATTTGACATGTCTGACGAAAACAGTGAACAACAAAATCATGCGGATAAAGATATTAGCTGGAAGGAATGGAGACACGAGAAAAAACAATTGCATAAAAAATGGAAGGAGCAAAGATTGCTGAAGAAGTTGGAGAAGAAGAGAAAAAGAGAAGAAGCCGAAAAATCCAAAGAAATAGAATTAAAGGCTGAAAGTAACAATGGAAGAGATTACACTTTGAGCATTGCCCTTCCAGGCTCGATTCTTGATAATGCACAAACTGCAGAGTTGCAAACTTTACTGGCGGGTCAGATAGCAAGAGCTGCAACTATATTCAATGTAGATGAAATTGTTGTGTTTGATGAAACTGGTTCATTACATAAGTCTGAAAAAAATGCCGAGACACTTATTTATGGTGATAAGGGATATTCAAATATTCAGTTATCGAGAATATTGCAGTATTTAGAATGCCCACAGTATCTGAGGAAAGAACTGATACCGTTGCACCCGGATTTGAAGTATTCTGGATTGTTGAATCCTCTCGATGCTTCCCACCATCTGAGAGCTACGGACGAATGCCGATATCGTGAAGGCGTCGTTGCAAATTTGCCAATTAAAGAAGGAAAGGGATCTTATGTGAGAGTGGGATTGAAAAAAGAAGCACGAATAGACAAAGCACTTGAAATTGGAACCAGAGTCACTGTTCGTCTAGAACCCGATCGGGAAAGTAAAAAGCATTTGAAAGGTGTGGCAGTCTCACCTTCGGCACCTAGAGTGGAAGCCGGAATTTATTGGGGTTACAATGTGAGGTTGGCCTCGAGTTTGAGTGCAGCCATTGCCGAATGCTCTTTTAAAGACGGATACGATATAATTGTCGGTACTTCTGACAAAGGCGACAATGTAGATAAAGTAAAATTATCTCCTTTTAAACATATGCTCGTTGTTTTTGGTGGACTTGGTGGAATAGAAGCCAGTATAGAGTCTGATGAAATGTTAAAAGTTGAAGATCCACGTTTTTTATTCCATTACTATTTGAATACTTGTCCGGATCAAGGTTCTCGCACAATAAGAACTGAAGAGGCAATACTTGTCTCCTTAGCTGCACTGAGGCCAAAAATTTTGAAATGTCAGAAAAAAAGATAATGTCATGTTTTTATAAAATTTTAAATTAAAAACTTATTTTAATTTTAAGTTTCAGATTCATTTCTTTATATTATCAATATAAAATTTAAATAATTTCTTGTGATGCTAACTAATTTCATTGTATGTGATTAAAAACAAATGACCTGCATTATTATATCATTTTAGAAACTACTAATTATAGTATCAGAACCACTAAATTATTACTGTTATCTGTATTTATCTTGTTTCATTTGTTTTTTTTCTTTAGTTTCACGTGAATTTTGGAATTATTCAAAATAAATAAGCTATCATCATTACAGTGTATCTCAATGCAAGAGCAAATAAACTAAGAGTATTGCATCATCTGCCAAAAGACCTGAAACACATTAAGCTGTATGTTTTAAAAATTTGTTTATTAAAAAATACAGAAGAAACAATTGTCTTCATTTCCATCATGTGCAATCACCAGGAATGGAAACAATTTTTATTCACAGAGGTAACCTTTTATGAGAGTTTACGCATCTTCAAAATTATGTAAAACAGTTAAAACATTCACTGATGATAAGCCAAAAAATTAAGAAAGATATGTAATTTTAATTAAAAAAGAAGACTATTTTTACAGTTTAAAAATATACACAGAAGAAACTAAGTAGTCTTTATTTATGTCTATTTTTACAATTTAAGAGAAAAAATGTCTCTGTCTTACTTTTCTTTGCAGAGATGAATTTTTCTTACAGACATAGTCTCTAAGAAAAGGTCATCTCTGCAAAGACTTTTTCTCTTCCTGGTAATTGGACATGATGGAAATGAAGACTGCCTAGTTTTCTTTTTAAAATGTAAAAATACTGTATGCCTTTTCATTTTAAATATTTATTTGCTCTTTGCATTTTCATATAACTATGTGCTGCCAGGTAAATATGTTTTGTTTGTATTTATTTATCAACTTTTTTTTGTTCAAATGCTTTAATTTTTTATTAAAAGAAAAAATTAAATTTTGTTTTTACATTTATTTAAATATATAAATAAATGTTAAACTTAGAAAATAATTTAATTATTTTTATCAATAAATGTTTTTATAACAACAAAACTTCAAACACTTGATTCTATTAGACATGCCAAACAAATAATCCAGCTGTTTGTTTGACATATAAAGATATTTTTACTACTACTAAAAGTAACTTGCAATTTATTATAGTAGAGCCTCGAAAACTCGGCCTAATGTGGACCGAAGGGTGGCCGAGTTTGTGAAAATGCCAGGTTATCGGGAATGGGGTTAAAAAAAATAAGTATGAGTGTTTCCTCAGAAAATACTGTACTGTACTTGTGTGTATTGTTTACTTGAGAATACAACAGAGAAAAAACTGCTCAAATACCCTTAAACAAAGGAAAAGTACATCTTTTATGAAGGCATAGAGCCTTTACTACATGAAAATGAAAATTAATGAATACACTGTGTACAGTAATTTACCTGATAAGACAGACCTCAGAAAAATACTTTATGAGGCATAAAGCTGTCTTTATCATGAAAATTAATTAACTAAGGATTTTTTTGCCCTGCCGTGGTGTGGCCGAGTTATCCGGAGTGCCGAGTTTTCAAGGCTCATATACAGGGTTCCTATGCACCTGGAAAGTCAGGAATTTTCATTAGTGTTCAGAAAGTCAGTGAAATGTCGGAATTTATTAAAAATTATCGAAAAGTCAGGGAATTTACTTCCTTGTTGACTTTTTGCTGACAATATGCTTGACTAAGGGTAGCCATATGCAAATAGCAAGAAGTAGTGTGGTGCAATACAACTTATGAAAAAGTGTGCAGAATATTTTCAGGACCCAAAATTTCTCCTCACAAGATTCAAAAATTTTCAAAGTACAGTACATGAAATGATAAAAAATTTAAATCGTATTATTTATCATTTTTCATTTTAATAATTTTGATTGTATAACAAAACAATTTCTGACTTGACCAGTTTATTAATATTTTATAACGTTCAGGAAATTTATTAAGAGATAAATTTAATAAATATATACTGTTGCACATGGATTATATAGGATTTGTTAATGAATAAAAAATAATTTTTTTTTCCTTTTTTTCAAAGCCTTGTAGATTTATGGTTGTGGATTAATAACAGAATTTTAATAAAACATTTTTTTTAATTTTAATAATTTGGCAATTATAAAAAATATTTAACTTAATAACTAATTAAATGTTGGAGAAGCAAAACATATGTGCATAGAAAGTTAAATGCTGTTTTATTTTGTCAATGTGCCATACTGTAAGGGACACGAGGGTTGGAATTTGTACAAAGTTAGGAAAAGTCATGGAAATTAAAACAAAAATTTGAGTAGGAACCCTGAATATAGTTATTTTATATTAGTAATAAATTTAAATTTTTGCATGTGAAATAAATTGAAATCTGTTTTAAAATCCTTTCCTGACAAAAGATATTTTTGTGTATTTTGAAAATGTAGATTTGTAGTAGTTTATGAAACATATTTATACTTAATAAATAAACATCATCAAGCTGAGTTTCTTAACTGATTATCTGGTCTACACAATTATTATTTTGCACTTCTTTACAAGATGGTTAAATTTTTAACTTTACAAAATTTGATTTATTGATCTATTTATGGATTTTTAGATGGGTGCAGTTATAATTATCTAATTACAATAACAGTTATAACTGACACTTTATTCATGAAGTGTCACTGTTCCTGAGTATATTCCTCAATAATTCACGTAGAATCATTTCAAATTATAATAAATTACTAACCGAATATCAAACTCAGCTTTTAAATACTTTGATAGTCATTAAGTATAACAATTACCATGAATAAAATTGAAATTTGTATTTGTAAAATGCAAACATTTTTACGTGGTAAGAATATAAATAATACTAAGAGCTTTTTTTTATATCAATATCATATTAAATTGCAATTATTAAAAAAGAAATTAATGCAAACATCAAAATATTAGATGCTTTCATATAAATGAAATATCTAAATGATTTCTGAGAAAATTATTGGCTTTTTCATAGTTTTACATAAATTCCAAATAAAAATTTTGTGATATAAATGGTATACTTAATTTAAAATAGAAATTAACAGTCTAAAAGTTCAAAATTGTTTTAATTATGTAACTCTAAAATACAAGTCCTTATAACTGGATTTAACAGACAGAAAAGTTTGTTCTAAAGGAAATATTCAAAACTTGTTTTATTTGTAAATAGAATATGCTAAGAGATTGAATTAAGGGTGTAAATTACTCAATGTATATTATTATAATTTATTCATATACACAGGTTCATACACAGTATTTTTAACAGTGGGTTTTAAAGAAAATTGCATTTTTAATGTTATAGTTTGTTAATTTTTATAGTATAGGTGATCGGAATAACAATACAGTAGACTAAGAAGGAATTAAAATGGTACAAAATACACTCTGAGCATCAAAGAGGCATTGGAATTGAATGAAACAGTATCTATGCAAATGTAATAATAATGGTAATAAGTGATTACAATATCACAGCAAAGAAACAATTTTCTATTGACAACCTTTAGAATGTTGTAAGACTTCTTGCTTGAATATATACATTGAATACAGAGGCATACAGGCATCTTATGCTATCTTGTGACAGTTTTTCTCACAGATGTAACTGCCACTCTAGATCCCTCAAACTGGTAGATAGCATTAGTAGGACTAATGGGACATCTGGTCCCACTAATGCTCAATGGGCAAATCTGGAGATAGGCAGACCAAAGATATGTGGCAGACATACCTGGAAACTCTACCTGTGTGCAACTAACCATCATCATGGAAAATAATTATTTGCAGCTTCTACCATAAAATGCAACACAGGATTTCCTGAATGTAACATTATGTCATCAATGTCTTACCTCTAGTTCAAGATGGCTCCTGAGATCAGCACACCGGCAGCGTGAGTGTGGTAAGTCTCAATTTAGGAGTCTGAGAATTTAAAAATTTTTGCCAATTTTTGGAGTTGGTAACTTTACCAGTCCATAACAGTTTGTTCTTCTTTGTCATGGCACCTCTTCAAATGAACCTGACAATGTTGGGGTACTAACAAGATGTATAGCAGTTGCCATGCATGTAAATTTCACTCTGCTAGTTGCTTCCCAATGGTACAGAAAGAGATGTGGTTCTGTAGAAAGGCTTCCATCTGTCTCTGCCTTTTCAAGCCTTTTTATAGGATACTTGAGTTGCTGTTTTAAGGCATTCTGGTGGTATTACCTGGCATGCAATTGGACCACAATGGTAATCATTTACATACTTGTCTGAGACTTGCTGAGTTTTGCAGTACAGTTGTCCCTTGATAATATGACAGGTATGGGACCAAAGGGGTGTTGGATTACAGAAAGTGATTACATATTCAGCATTGTTTTGCTAGCAGTAGCCTACACTGTTCCCTACTCCAACTGTTCAAACAGAACTGTTCACAGAAAACACACGAAATGTGTGTCATCGTGTAAGAATTGGGTGGGGAGATTCACGTTGCGACATGCTTCTGTGCAAGCAGACACGTAACGGGGATGGGTACCTTGACAGGAGGTGCATTGGACTACTGAGCATCACACTCTCTTCAACCTTAAATGACCAGTAAAATATGTAAAAATACTACAAACGTTTTCGACCATTATTTCGTAAGGTTGAAGAGAGTGTGGTGTATATTATACCAGTACTTATTTACAAAGGTTGAAGCTACTGAGCATGTCGGATCACAAAACATTGGACTATCAAGGGACAGCTGTAATTTAACAACTGTCTGGATAAGTAACTTTTTGTCAATGAGTTACTAATAAAGTAACATTTGACTGTTTGAACTGTTAAATGGGAGAGAGTAAATCCCAAAACTTTCTCCATCTGCATAGCATTATTTTTTATTATAATGACATTTTAATAAATACTGTGAATTGTAAGTCTGTTATTAGTAAGTTTTTAAAATATATTCAATAGACTTTCAACAATATACCCTTTCTCCAATTAGTCTATTGAGTATCTACTGTATTAAAAGAACTTGAAAAATCAAATTTTTTTAATAACAAAAGGAAAATTTATGTTAACTATTCTGTTTAATAAATTTCCTTTAGTCAAATATTCAAAAATTTAATATTTTTATATATTTTAAATATTTAGTTTAATGTGACTTTTCTGAGTATATATTTGACTCAAAAACAAACATTTACAGATCTTAATATAATATTAAGTTAATGTTATTTATCTCATAATAAAAGTTTAAAAGAAATACAGTATTTTAAAAACTTCAATGAGTTTGAATCTTTATATAAAGTTCTCATTGGAAAACAATAGAATGAATGTGATCAAACTGGAACAGTAATACAAGTCTACTCAAAAACCTTTTCCCATATATCCCTGCTTGCATTGAACTTAATTCACTATTTAAACTTTCAGAAATTTACATAAACTTAAAAACCCCTCTGTACATATTAAACCAAGTGCTATAAATAATTCCTTTAATAAATAAACAAGTTTATTCCAATAACTTACATAGCTATGGAAATCTTGCAACCACTTTGAAATACATTGCAATGAAGTTTATTCACAGAGGATTTTTGGAGAATTTTCTGAAATTTCTCATAGTTTTTCTTATGTCATGTGTTTTGCATATTAAAGACCTATCACCTTTAGCTGTTCATATTAATGTCTGTGAAAAATGGTGAGAGGTAAGGCAATCAGAAAAATTATTATCCAGAAGAATAGACTCTCTCAATGTAGCATTACAAGGGATGTGCAGATATCCCAGTCTATAGTCCAGGGAATCATAAAATGTTTTCGAGAAAAGGAAAATATTCATCCAGGTAAAGCTTTAGGAAGAAAATTACCTCTCAGTTCCAGACAACTATGGTCTTTTTGATGCTACATATCCAAATATAGGCAAATTTCCATTGAAGATTTGAA